ACCTGTCCCTCTGCCTTGCTGGGGGTAACTCAGCAAGGAGTCCTCAACTGGAGGACACCAGCCAGTGCTGGTGGGGACACTGGCTTGTTCTGTGCCATCCCAAAGGAGCCTGACTTGGCTTTCTTGTTGGGTTTTGACTTTCCTTCCAATTTCCTAATGCGTAGTTATCACTGTGCTGGGTTTGCATAGCCTGTGTCCAGAAGCATGACACATCTTGGCAATGGCTCATTCTTCACTGTCCAGGGCCGGTTATAAATAAAGCACACATATTTGCACATAAAGTACAGTAAGGCCCCAAATAATATTTTATATGGCTGATCCTTTGGGTACATAAGGGCCTCTGATTGCTGTTTACCAATGGGATATTGGTGCTGGCCTGCCTGCTTCACAGACTGTTGCCATGCACATCCATGGATACAGGAAAGTGAACTGCCAGAAGGAGCTATTCAGTAAGCAAGGGCAATTACCTGGGTTAAGATGATATGCTGTTGGGGTTTCTGTGGATCTCAGGTACTTCTTTTTTCCTGTGTGAAGCTGCTGGAAAAAAATACTAACCATCTATTCTGTGCTCATCTGCTATTTATTTGGATGTCAGTCTGTGGCCACATTGGTTAAAGGGTTTCCAGGCTCATCTTCTGTCTAGGTGGCTTGGAAGGTGGACCAAACTCATGCTTGTCCTATATGATCCGTGCCTTGAGAAACCCCTCAAAGAGAACTTGGCATCACCTTAGTATGTGAACTGAAATAGTCATGTTCCCAGAGCTCCTGTGTTCACAGAGAAGTACTTGTCGCCATGTTGTGTTGACGTTGTCCCATACTGGGCATATTTGGATGCAAAACTGCCCCTGCAGCCTGTGTCAGTGGGTTGTGCTGGCTCTTCTGGGAGCACACAGGAAGAGTGTGGCTGAGTTGGGGACATGAACTGGCATCTTCTGAGAGCAGAGCTCTTTGAGATACTGAAGTTAGTCATGGTAAAAGGATATTTTCCCTTAAAAAAAACCCAAAAACAAACAGCAAAAAAAACCAAAACTCTGAGAATGTAGGGATTATATTTGCAAATACAAATAAATACATATGGTATGTTAAATATATAAGTACAGGCACTTAATGTCTTTCCATGTGCTCTATTCCCTGTGTTAAGAAAACTAAGCTTCTACACTAGAAAATAAGGTGGAATTTTGATAAATTTTTCATCTTCTATATTGACTTGCTGTTGCAAACCCATGTAATTCTGCTATATAAAAGGCATTCATTTGCTATGCATTCACATGGGTCCTCTTTTCCCTTTAACAGCCACCAAAGAGAGACAAATTATCGCTCACACTGTGCTAGAAGCCAAGGATTTGCTTTTTGCCTTTACATTTAGCAGGGCTGTGGCTGTATTGGGGTTGTCTGGGAAGCCAAGCCACGGGATGGTCATGTCAGATGGGACTCAACTTGTTACATGCCACTGCAGCCGTTATATGCTGCAGATTCAGGAGCTGGTGCTCAGCATCCCAGTACTGCATGGAGCCTTCTGGGTGGGGTGGTAGGATGGAGAGTAACCAAAATCCTGCCTTAGCCTGGTTTTGAGTGTTCCTGCAGGCTCCTGGAGGAGAATGACATTGCCCTGCTGATGCGTCACCAGTAATGGGGAGCCAAGACAGTTTCCACCACCCTGCCTAACCCCCCAGATGTGCAGGAAATTATGCTGTAGTTATAAAATAATCTTGGGTAATGGCATATTAATGAAGGCAGGGAAAAGGTGGTGTCTGGGAGTGGGTTTTCTTCCACCTGGAGAAGGGAGGCTGTGTACAACTGCTGCGCTTGGAGGGGGGTGTCAAAAAATGGCATCACCTTAAAGTAAGACTTGGGTGTAAAGCCCCCCAGGAGGAAGGGTCATACTCTGGCTCTGGGTGTGTTTCTTCTGCAAAATTCACTGTGACTCATCCTGAAGGTGTTGCCTCTAAGCTATCTGCTTTTTGACCCACTCTTTTGTTCCAATTAGAGACCATTTGGTTCCCTTTTCTATCCACATCTCTTAAGCCGTATCATTTCTACCTCCCTTCATGCTGTCCTTTTTATCCTTCAGATTCCTAACCCATCATCTCCACCTTCCCCCACATTCTGCCCTACCAAGCCCCCTACTCTTTTCTCTACCCTTCAACACCTTCCCTTTGTCCACCTTTCCCTCTTTTCCACTGGCCATAAATACCTCTTGTATTTGAAAGAATGTCAGTGTGGGGAGATGGGAAGGACAGTGCCCATGGAGTAGGCTGTGCTGCCCCATCTAATAACATATGTATCAGACACTTTTCCCTTGAGATGGCAGCCTCTGGAAGCCCAAGACAAACCTTTCAACAAGATTAAAGAGATGGTATTAATTGTTATCGATCATGGGTCAACAAATTAAATTGCATCTGCAACTGCACCTCTGAAAGGTCTAAATAAAAAATGTAGTTAATGGGTCTGGCTGGCCCAGAGCTGTGATTAATTAAGGGGAGAAATGAACTACAACATTAAAAAAAAGACAGAAAGGAAGGTGATTGAGATCAGGCTGAAGTCCTTTGGTGTGTCAGGTGAGCACTCAACAGCATTTCAGTTCTGGATTCACCCTGCCTGGCCTGAGCCAGGCTGCTACGAAGCGGAGCTGGTGGCAGTGATTTTAGAGACTCCAATTGCCCCAGGTGCTGTTGGAAACACTGCACACCCAGGAGTGGCAACTGTTCCACAGAGACCCTCAGAAAAGCCAGTCTGTGCCCGTTGCTCCTCCCTGCTATCCCACTTTGGTGCTCAGGGAGAGCTACACAATCCCTCAGTGGGACCGTGTGCCTAATGCCCCTGGATTTGGGGGAATCAGATCCCTTCTGCCATCTGAGCCAGCATTGATGAGGACCTCACAGAAATAGCTGATGGAATCTGCAGGGCTTCCTCCTCATTTCACCCAAACATGCTCAGTTCACTGTGTGTGGTCCCTGAGGCATCCCTCAGCCATCAGCTGGAGTTTTATCCCATTTGTTTCATGGACTCAATGCCCTGGAACAGCAAAGGGGAAAAAAGTAGCATCCCCCTGATGTTCAGGAATCCCTGTAGGTAATGCTCTTTCAGCTCTCATCCAGCATGGCAGCCAGCACCACAGCACCCCTGTGGGAGCGGGAAGTAAAGTACTCCTGGGTGGGAATAAGGGTGCCACTGCAACTCCTTGGGAAATAATGATGAAGCACAGCATGGAATAGAGATGGTGCTTAATTAATAGTGAAGAAAATAATATGCGGGATGTATAGTGCTGTACTTGTTCCAAGCACTGTACAAACATTAACTACAGTAATTAAGCTGTAATTAATTAGAGTAACTACTAATCAGTATAAATAATGATGCATCTGGAGGTACCAAATGGAGTTTGTGAACTGAAAGCAAATTTCCATGTTCAGGAAATGGCACCAAATATAAAATGGCACCCATAAAAGACAAAAACAGATGGCGATTAAAGCAAGAGCCTGGGAGTTGTGTCGGTTTACGACGGCTCCACAGAACTGAATCCCAGTTTGGCACACATCTCGTGACAGAGCAAAGCTGATTTGCTGATTTACTGATTCACTGCTGAGGAGCTCCCTGGGCAACCCATCCCATCCACAGGGCTTCCACGACTGCTTCCAGGCTCCAAGCCTGCTCCTCCCATCCCAGCTGCACTCACCAGTGCTGCAGAGTCAGGGGCTGAAGCAAGGGCTGGGAGGAGGACCTGGGAGCTTGAGGAGGTAAAATACACCACAGATATATAATTTTGGGGATTTTCTTGCTGGTTCACACAGTTTATATTTAACAAAATAATTTTTAATAATATAGTCTTTTACACATCAAATATTGTTTCTAGACACCCCCCCACCCCCCAGTTTTTACAGACTGTTTCTGTTTTTCTCACTAGTTTCAGGCACACTATTGTTTGAAAAGTTTGAAACCAGGTAGTCATTGACAGGCAACAACTGACAAAGAAACGTGGCGATGACATCTTTAATGGTACCAGTTCTACTCGCAGGAAGCCAATGCTCAGCCTGAAGTACAGTGATGGCTGCAATCACCAGTGCTCCTCCTACCCCCTGCTCTCTGGTAAAATACAAAAATTGGGAAGAAATCAAAAATACCAAGGCAGCAGTGTGCATAATAGACAGAGCCCGACCGTGCTGATCTGCTTCAGTGGAGGATGCTGTGAGCAGGATTTGCTGCCGTCATTGTTAAAAGCAAGTGCCGGACTGAAATCTGAACAAAATAAGCACCACCACCCTAATGGCCATGGCCAAAATGCAGCAAACCAAGTGTGGACAATGATGGGAAAGGCTTGTGGAGCAGAGAAATGACATTGGTGGCTTTTCTCTCACAGTATCGCTTGGAAGCTGCAGCCTGAGAAAGCACAAGGTGTCAGTGCCAAAAAGCCTGAAGGGGCCCCTTGGCTGCTGGTGGGGAACCTCTCCTTCCCGCAGGCAGGCACATAGCTGCTTTCTGAAGAGATCCTTCCCCAGGAAATTACTTCCACAGATGCAGCCTGCCTGTCCCCGTGCACCGTGGCTTGCTTTATCTGCAGCAGAACGGATGCTCCTGGAACTGGGGGAGAGCCAGGGCAGCTCCCTCGGGTCTCACCCTCTGGTGCAGTGATGGGACACTTCTGCAAAGCTCCCTAAGGGCGATAGGCAGAGAGAGATCAGATGTTTTAATTCTGACTTGTGGTGGCCACGTCCCACTGCCGCTGAAGTCACAGAAATGATGCCCTTGGCTCCAGTGAAAGCAGCCCCAGCACCAGCAAAACAGAAATGGGGCAAGGCTCATCCTAAGAGCCAGCAGAGCTGTGGTATGGGTGGGACCCTCCTCCCTCTGCTCCACCACTGACGCCCCAGCCACAGAGACAACGCAGGTAACACATTGCTTTCTTGGTGCCCTTCCAGCCCATTCTGGCTCGCCACCCCTGCCTGGTCCATGCAGCCGGTGTTGGCTTGTTGTCTGATCAAGGTCACGGTGACTGTGTAGGTGTCTGACTTTATTGTCCCCACTCAGTGGAGAAAGTGTAACACAGATACAGCTTGTGTCTTGGGTGTCCAGTGGCATACCTGTGCATCCACCATGGTCTTTCTGCAGGTTACATTCCAGTCAGGGTTCCTTCTTAGCCCCTTTTTCCCCTTCCCTCCTGTCCTTAACACACACACACCCCCACGCGCCCATTACAGACACAATCAAAATGATCCATCACTTGAGTCACAGCTGTATTGTCCTGACAATAACAGCTTAGGAAGCATCTTAAAAAAAAAAATCACATTAGCAAAATAATCCTTGAATAAATAAATGTGGAAAACCTCCAGGATCCACACTGTAGACAGTGACAGCAGTGACTCAGTCGGAGGCATCACCAGTCTGAGAACTTATGTGGGTTGTTTTCCATCGGTCCTCCCCAAATGTGACCACCGTGTCCCTGTGAAGCACTGATAATTACTAAAGCAGAGTCGATACCTAGATAAAGGATACATAGTGTGTAAAGCGGGACAGGAGCAGGACAGGAGGGAGAGGGAGACCCTTCCCCACAAGTAAAAACCTCTGCTTGTGTGAAACTCTTGCAGGTTTTGCTGGTGACCCTGTTCCAGCTGGCGGGAGGTCGGATGCATGTGCAGCATCAAAGATGTTCCATTGTCATCATCATCATTGTCACCATCATCATCAGGGGACTGCTTGTCCAGCAGTGCCACTGACAGGGGATTTTCCACTACAGAGCCTGCTTGCCCTGGCACTCGCGCTTGGAGCACTGCGCCGGCTTCCACCAGTCCCCATTGTGGCAGTGGCAGATGTTGCAGTCGTCCACCTTCACCTCGATGCCGGCAGGAATTATCGTGGTTCCTGCAAAGCAGTTTGGACCTGCAGAAACACACGTGAGTAACAGGAATAAATACCTTTTTGGTTCTAAATTGGGCATAGCAGCCCTGCTCACAGCACCTGGGAGCAGGCAGGTGCTCAGCCCCAGCTCCTTGCTGTGCTCCAGTGCTGCACTGCCACTGCTGAACTCGGCAGCAGTGCTCCCAGCCTGCTTGGTGCCAACCTTCACCCCATGCTGATCACTTGCCTCATTTTTCTGGCTGCCCTCAGGCACTAAAGGGAAAATAAAAAGGCCTCAAAACTTTCCTTCTCCTGTTTCTATACCCACCCCTTATACAAATAGCATTGGATGCCCCATTGATGCACCCAGGTTTTTCTACTCAGCTGTCCTTTAATTTAGTCTTTCACCTAAAATTTGGCTGTGAGATGGACAAGACCATGAGGACAAACATCAAAACACAAATGAGCCTTTGCCAGATGACACTGCGTTGAGCTGCAGGGAGTGGAGCCAATTCATCCCTCAGGACCATGGCAGCCATGCCTGAATGCCCAGTAATCCCACCAGCTCAGGACTATTAGCCATAGAAGATTTATAGCATCAAATTAACAAAAATAATTCACCTTCCAGATAAGCTTTCTGATAAAACCTGGGTCTTCTCAAGGGCAATTCCTTTAATCTGCTCATTACTGCTAATTGCTGTGGACTTCTGTATTGTACAACATCAAAGCAGCAAGCCAGCAAGGATCTTACTTTCCTCCTTCTCTTAAAAGTCCCACAAATACCCATCACCCAGCTGTCCCTCTGCAAACCCTCTCCTCTTCCCCTCTTGCTCCTGCATCAGTTAGTGCCAGGAATTAATGGCAGAGGCCGCAGTACATGGGGAAAATAATTAAGGTGGCTGCATGCATGGTATAGGTGAAGCATGAAGACATTTCAAAAGTGTCTGGTGGCTCGAGTGCTGCTCTGAAATGTCACCCCTCAGCTGGCCACTGGTTTTAATCTATGCCTCCAGTGCACGAATTGTATTCAATAGATGGCAGTGTGTGCAGACCTGAAATTACAGGCAGGTTGTTAGTGTTTAAAGTAAGGCTTGACTGTTTGAAAGGGAAAATAGGGTCCCTGCATGGCTGGAAACAGGCTGAGCTGTAGCCAACCCAGTGCTGGGCTCTCATGTTTTATAGTCTCACAGAACTATTAATTTTATCTCCCTGATTTATTAGTGCCCTGACTTTATTGGTGCTCCTCAAGACCCTATGTTCGAGCTCAACAGACCATGAGTTTGACAGGACTGGGCTTAACCAGATGTAGACAATGCAAGTTGCTGCTGAGCCAAACAGTGCCTGGATGTTGTCTGCATTTAGGCAACCTCTTGACTTTACTGAAGGCCTCCTCAAATGCAGATCAGCTCTGTAGCAACTTTTCAGATCTATTTCAGTGAAGCCACAACAGAAGAGCCTGAGCAAGATGCCTCTGATGGCTCCTGGAGCAGAATTTGGGGTGAGTGGGTGTACCCCAGGGCTGCTGCTTCTGTCCACAGACAGGACCTGGGAAGGCAGGCTCTGGTGCAGGGAAGCCCTGTGTCTCTCCAAGCATATTGCCTCCTCCTTTGCCCAGCCAGCATGTGAATCCACCAGGATGCCAGGAAGAAGCAGGCTTTTGCTCCAAAGAAGGAAATGCAACACCACTGGCTGAGCTAGAGTTCAGGCTGTGGTGAAGTGCTGGCAATTGCGGAGCAGTGCACTGAGCACAGGGATGTCTGCTTTGGGCTGGGCAACCGCCAAAGGTCCCCTCCAACCTCAGTCATTCCATAGCACAAAGAATTTCAAAGCCAGGAGTTACCAGTCAAGGGCATGCAGTGATACAGAAAAAACAGACTATGTACACATATGCATATACTAGACATGTTTTTCTTTACATGCATGAAAAAGTCATGACTCGTTTTAAGTCACAAGCTCAAAATTTCCAAAGTTGGCATTTCTCTGGAAAACACGATTCTGGCTGGAAAGGCTGTGATCCCAACTGCAGTTTTACTCTGGCAACCCACTGAAATTGTTACTTCTTCACAGGGCTCTCGGGTCCCTGCACTGGCTGTGCTGCTGCCTGCCCTGTGCTCTTCATCACAGAGTTTAACTCTGTTTCGTCAAGCCTGATGGGTGCTGTTGTGTTGTGACACCCAGCGTGGGCTTCACCAGCAGGTTGGCTCATTTGCTGCCATTCCATGTCCAGGGTTCAAACGCAATGAAAATGCCACTAATGGTAGATAGCTGTATTTAAAGTTGAAGTCAGCTCCTGTCCCTCTTTAACAGGATGCTCTGATTGCTGCCGATGGCAGGGACACACAGGATGGGCAGCGCTCCCCCCCAACACCCCCCAACCCCCCCCCGCTCCCTCAAGCAAAGAACCCTTTTCATTAAAACTTAAACAAAAAGCTTCCTCTGGAGCTGAGGGTGGCAGGGAAAATGGAAGAGTGTTTTCCATCTTGTTGCCCTGCGGCTGCCTGTTAATTATCTCATTTGAGAAGCCAATACTGCCTTGTCACCCACACATGTCTCCGGGTGCTGAGCTCATTCAATGTGGCTGAAACCACATGGGAAGCTGGTGAAGACAGGAGCCAGCCTGTTTTATCACTCACTGGTGGGCCAACCATCACTGTCTGACCTGGGTCTGGGGACCCTGTGACCCCCTCATGTGGTGTCAGCTGCATCCCTGCACTGAAACACCACAGCAGCAGAGGATGGCTCAGTGAGTTAGGACTGGCTGATGCGGTATTGCAAACTGGGGAAAAGCTTATTTTAACTTGCATGGCCACAGCCGCCCTTTCTCCTCCTGGCAGTCCCAGGTTCCTTCTCCCTCTTGAGCTTCCCCAGTGGGGTCATTTGGACATCCATCTCTTCTGTCATTTACTTTTAATTTAGACAAACACTACCACTGCTCTGGACCTTTCTTTTGCCCCAGCACTTTCTCAAAATAGCCACCTCTGCATTGCCAGAGTGAAATGGTTTCTTTTGCTCATCACAGCAAGCTGGATGGAGCATTTCTGCACCCCCACTCCCCACCCTTATGGAAAGGTGGCTTTCCACACTCCATTTGTGAGAATTCAACTTGAATTTCCACCCCCTGAAAATTAACTTTCCAGCACAACTGCTATCAGCCAGCACACCTCCCTGTTTTTCCCCATCTAAACTTCCCCCACCTTCATATTGGAAAAGTGGATCCTGTTTGTCAAAAACGGGATGCAGCGAGCATCACACTTGTGGCTGAGGCATGACAAAGATGCACTCAGAGAGGTACTGCACTGCTGAAATGCAATTGAAAATATGCCCACAAGTGGCATTTCCTATACTATGGCACAAGCCACCAGGGGATCTTCCAGTAACATCCAGCACTGGGGGATGCTATATGGCTTTATGATGTGCCTTAGAGAGGAACTGCAGCCATGATGGGATCTCACAGCAAGAAAGCAATCCTTTTTTAGCTCTGCAGCTAACCAGACTCCTTTAGGTTCTCTATTTCCCTCCCCTAGATAAGCCCCTCAGCATTTCAAAAGCTCAGTGCCCCAAACCCACACTGCTGGGGACTGTCCTGAGCTGCTCCCACTGTGGCTTTGTGCTTCTTGGAGGAGCAGGCTGAGACCAGGATGTGCCCAACTGATGTAAAGAAGATCACAAAGAATGAGACTGACCAGCACAGCAATGTGGGTTTGGTTTTTTAAAATTATTATTCAAAGGAAGATGCTGCTCAGAAACAGTTGATGACATGTCAAGCATGTCAGCACATTTACTTATGATAATAGCAGTAGGAACAAGAAGCTGCTTTGGGCAAGGGCTGTCGTCCCGGTCTTTGTAAAAGCATCCTAAACCACAAAAACAGGGCCGTAATCATCCTCTTTTCCTTGCTCAGGGAGACTGATGGGACAAGTTTGCTCCTCCCACAGACACCGTAATTGTGAGATTTGCTTTGCTTAACATAGTTAATGCTCAGACCACAGAACTCCAGGATGTTTGCTAGAACAACTGTGAAGATTTTTATGAAGATATATTAGGGACATTCAGATGCTGCTTTGATGGGAGAGAGCTAGAAAAATCCCATATGGTTTGTTGTTTGGGAAGAGTGATGGCAAAGTTTGCAACTGTATGTGTAAGACCAGATGCCTGGGTGATGACCCATGTTGTGCTGCTGAACTTCACCACTGGTATGGAGGGAATACATCTAACCCCATGCTCAGGCATTAATGCATTCCTGCTACCTCATGCAATGCTACCCAAGGGTGTGAGATTAAGTCCTCTTGGGAGTCTGGCATGATGGTGTTATAAGGAAACTCAAAAGCCCCTTGATCTGACATTTCCTATCAAACTGGAAAAAACTCACAGCCCAAAGGCAATAGGAGCAGCCACTCCAGCTCACAAGCAAACTGCATCTTCTGCACAGTCCCCACCACACCACTATGGGGATGAGGAGGAAAACACGTGAATTCCAGAGCACACTGCACAGATGCCAAGTTAAAGCTGGAAATAGCAGGAGTGTGCAGTCTGATGCATGCAGTGTCATGCTGATGATTTGGGGTGACTTGGTGCTGAACACCAGCCTGACTCCTGGGGGCTGTGGCCTTCAGGCTGCTCCCAGTTACTTCTCTGGTGGTTTTACTGAACTCAATAGCTTTGCTCACAGCTTACAGCAGCTCTGGATTTAGCTTTGTGTGTGCAAAGAAGCAATAAAAGGAAATCAAATGTTAAGCACCACCGCAAGCACGAATCACTTCAGGCCAACTGTGATATTCAGATTTGTCCTGAACAGGATCTTGCACCAGGCAAAGCTCATCACCTTCACTGGAACTTCTCATGGTACAACATCTGATTTCCACAAGCAGTGGTATTTTCTTGTTAAATATTTTCCAGTGATAATTCTATGTCTCCAGTCACTACTTTAGGAGCCTCCCCATCTCTTTAGGAAATACTAAAGTTGACTCCAAGATAATTTACCTTATTCAGTCAATGAACAATGTCAAGGAGAGAGGTGCTGATAGCTACACTTACCTACCTCG